GAATATTTCTAGGGGGATGGATAGATGATTTGCTTTTCATTCTGGTCGGCATAAAGTTCTTTGTTTAAAGGATTTTTAAACCAAATACTTTTAAAGTTCACAATGCCTCCTTGCCACTTTGTTGGTTCAACTTTGATTGATACTACTGGTTCAAACGACTTTGCAGTCTTTTGAACTGCAAGGTCGATGGTTTAAGTTCACCAGCTGCTCCTTGGAAACCCTATACAGGGTTGCTATGGGTCAGAATCGACTCAACGGCACTTAACAACAATAACAACAACAACTCACAAACACATATATGCATAACCCCACATTTACATAAGAACTATCATTCAAATTTATGCACCAACCTACAAAGCCAATGAAGAAGAAACTGAAGAACCCATCAACTTCTTCAGTCTAAAATTGATTAAATATGCTTATCTAGATGAATTGATAGTTACTGGTGATTGGAACAAGAAAGTTGGGAACAAAGAGGAAGGATCAGGAGTTGAAGACAGAAATGCCTTGGTGACAGAAATGATGCTGAAAATCACATGATAGAATTTTGTGAAGCCAATGACTTCATCATTACAAATACCATTTTCAATCAACATAAAAGGCAACTATACACATGGACCTCATCAGATGGAATACACAGAAATCAAATTGACTGTGAGAAGAGATAGTAGAAAAGCTCAATATCACCAGATAAAACAAGGCCAGGGACTGGAACAGACCATCAATAGTTCATGTTCAAGTTCAGGCTGAAGAAAATTGAAACAAGTCCATGAGACCAAAAATATGACTTTGAACATATCCCACCTGTTTTTAGAGACAATCTTAAGAATTAGATTGTCATTAGACATTAATGACAGAAGACCAGACGAATATGCCATCAAGAGCATCATACAGGAAGAAAGCAAGAAAGAGCTTACTTCAAGATGACCACTTGGCTCACATTCATTTTCTGCTGAACAACTCAATTTTCATTGTCTCTTCCACTCACTGGATGCTTTTTCTGGGATCTTTTGTTAAGCAAAAATGCATCAAACAGCAAGAATCAAAATCACTGAGTTAAATCCCCACCTAAGGTGTGTGCTTCATTGATGCCACGGCCATAATAGAATGTCTACATTCATTCTGCATTGCACATTACCTGGAGACCAGGTAATTGTGCATTACCTGGAGACCAGTAAGTATTGGCCTATCTGTGATGTCCAAGTTCACAAAACCAGCCCACTCCTGATATAAGGTCAGATAAAACTCTTCAAGATATCATATACAAATTAGTTCCACGACTTTTCATAAATGTGATAAAGAGAAGAAGAGATTTGTATGCGGCTCATCCTTCATCTGATGCCAATGGGTCTAATGAAGATAGAAGAGAGGTTGCAGATGAAGATAAGAGAATTATAACTGATGATAAGATAATCAGCTTATCCACTGAATTCTTTGACCAGAACAGATTGGACCTCAAAACAAAGAGAAATCTAAAGAGGACGTGAATGATAAAACATATCTATGATGCCCAGCAGCAATGTCTATGATGCACCTAAGAAAATTTCTCAGAAGTAAAATGGATGTACCTAATACTTTCCAGATTAATGTGATGTATGAAGAAGAACCCTTGAAGGATTACTATACACTAATGGATATTGCCTACATTATACCTGAAGAAAGAATGGACCACTTCCTTTGAAATACAGAGTTCAACCAACTTGTCAAAGAATGAAGATCGGTCAACAGAGAGATGGACTGACAAATACTGGAGAATAGAAAGTGACTCTGGGAGTGACAAGGCCAACAGCCCAGCAGGAGGGATTCTCTCCACCTCTTTGTGTTTGCCTAGCACTCCAGTCTAGTCTCCTCATCCTCAGTTTCCTCACATTTCCACTCCTATGAATGGAACCAGCAACAGCTCCAGCGGTAACCACCAATCTTCCTTTGCCAGTAGACCTCGAAAATCATCAATAAGTGGGTCATCAGCAACTTCATCTGGTTGATATACTTGAGAATGTTAAGGGAAAAAATGTTAAACTCTGATTTTATATGGATCTCTTCATGCCATTACAACTTTATAGACACTAATGCATGTGATTATCAGCCAATTTGCTTTCTTTCATAGTGACATTAAATTTGGCTATAAAAGATGGACCATATGTGATATTCATATGGATGTTAATTGATAAGAAAGATTGTCTCTATGAAGAATTGGTTTGTGGGGAGACCGACAAGATTTTTCTGTGTGTTAGCAAAAATGTGAAATGGTTTCCGTAACCACTGTTTGGATTTGGAAATACTCTGCTGTGGCTATAAGCATTGGGCTGTAGTTTGTTAATCTCAACTAATGCCTACGTTACATTCTCCTTAATTGTTCTTGTTATAGCGCTGTTTTGTGAGCCTGTAGAAAACAAGTGCTCTTTATCTTGAAATTCAACAACAACAACAAAACTTGACAGAATATGCATAGAATAATTCATTCTAGGTAGTCACGTCACAATGAATAATGCTTTATTGCATTGTTAGCCATTTTAATTCCTATGTTTCATTTTTACTTGTCTTTTGCTGCACAAAACCGATCAAAGGAAAGTAAACTTCGGTTTTACAATCTGTATGCCTAAAAGTGGGTACAACCATTTATTTTACTGATTCATTAGAAGAATCAGATGGCATTATACTTGCCATATTGATATATTACATAACAGGAAATAGTATTGTATACTATCTTCATAAATACTATAAAGAAAATAATTGTGTTTCATGTACTCAGAAATCGTTATTACAATTCTCCCAATGGTTCGGAACTGTATGTTTGCAGAAACTGTATGTTTCAGCCATTTTTTAACAGCATAGAATATTTTTAATGAGGATAACTAATTCTAAATTCTGTTCCCTTGAAAGCAATTGGCACATCATTATAATGTGTGCCATTCTTCAGTAATACATGTTTACTTTTTAATTGTATATTAAAGGAAAATATCTAATTAAAGAATATAGAAAATAGTCATTGATTATAATGGGATTAATGTTTTTTAAATGTACATTTCTCACTATAATTCTAAAAATTTTTAAATAAGCCAACAAGTTGCTGGAAGAAGGCATTTTGTCTAAAATATTTTAATATATGATACAGCTATAATTTCAGATTTGAGTTACTTTAACAGTTATAAATATTAGAATATGTCTTCTGTAATGTCTGGAAGTTAGCACAAATATGAGCTTCTACAGGTATTAATTTTTTAATACATCAAGCATGTTGAATTTTAAATATGTATAACCCCACCCATTTTCAATTTGTGTTTTTGTTTTGATCAAACTTTGTGAGTTTTCATTACCTATCAGTTATTTGTGAGGGTGTTCATTCTCTATGAATATTGGTTCGTGTTTGTATAGGAAAATTGTAGCTAAACATTTTCAGTCTGAAAAAAAAAAAAAAAAGCACAATTCTATTGCTTTGTCTTTGTCTTGATTATAGTCACTAAATCATTACTTTTTACATAAATAAAAAAAAAGACAGGAAAGAAAGAAGAGACAAAACTGGATGACAGAAGAGACTCTGAAACTTACTCTCCACCATACAGATATTAAAGTGAATGGAAGAAATGAGTAAGTCAAATAACTGAACAGAAAATTTCAAAGGACAATTAGAGAAGACAAAATCAAGCATTGTAATGAAGTGTGCTAAGACCTAGAGTTAGAAAACAAAAACAAAAAGAAGATGCTCAGGATTTCTCAAGCTGAAAGAACTAAATAAAAAGTTCAAGCCTTGATTCATAATGTTGAAGAATTCTATGGGTAAAATATTGAATAATGCAGAAAGCATCAGAAGAAGATTAAAGGTATACACAGAGTCATCGTACCAAAAACAAATGGTCTATGTTTAACTGTTTCAAGAGGTAGCGTATGAATCAGAACCAATGATATTGAAGGAAGAAGTCCACGCTGCAAAGGCATGACAAAAAACAAGACTCTAGGAACTGACAGAAAAATATTGAAATCTTTCAACAAACTGATGCAGAACTGGGTCACTCACTCATCTATGCCAATAATTTGGAAGACAGCTATCTGGCCAACTGATTGAAAGAGATCCATATTTGTGCCCATTCCAAAGAGATGTGACC